TGGGACCCCAGACAGAGTATGAGTATGTGCAGGTGGCATCCCTGAGGAGTCTGCGCTTCAGTGGACCGTGAGTGCTCCCGCTGCATAACTCACTGAACTGTCTTGCCAGCTTCTACACTGGCTTGACTGGGCATAATTCAAAAAGGAAAAACTCATATTCATTCCATTCTTCTGAAGCTCCGTGATAGCGTTTAGTAACACCCCAATGGGATGTCTTCCACATATTGTATTATGGTATTTCTTCAAGTAATTGCTAAAAGATACAGGATCTAATTGCTCTATAATACTCATGCCCATTTTATCTAGATGTTCAATGGATCTATAAATCTCCCCCTGGGATTCATCATAGTAACTGTAACGGAACCTTTGACCCCAGTGGCAGAAATCAGAAGAAACCACAAAGAGATTACTAGGATCCGCTAGGTATTTACTGAAGAGTTTTCCGAATTCCTGTTCTTTTGACTCACTCAGAGCTCCAACCAGTACAGGAATAATGGTAAACTCATCCTTATGGCTTTCCATGGCTTTAGCTGTATAAGGCAAATGCATTTCAATACTGTGTTCATCTTCATCTGTCTGCAGAGACATGCGTTCAAACATTCCTGTTTTCCACAGTTCTCCGTAAATTTTTTGGTCAATACGAAGGTCATATAGAGGTGTTCTATATATATCCACACCGGAAAGTGCACATCGAGAAAGGGGCACATGATGAGAAGGCCCGAGGATAAAAATTCTCCGGGTAATTGATGGATCCACTTGTTTGTAAGCATGGGCAGCACAAGACCCACAGTACGTATATCCTGCATGGGGTGCAATAATGGCTCTAGCAGGTCTTTTTGTAGACTGTACTTGTGAAAGCCAGCCTTCTAGCTGTGAATTCAGCTGAGGTCCTGAGGCTGTGTACCAGCTCCCGGCGTGACTGGCTTCCCGGCAGACCACTCGGTTGGACATCTTGGTGCCTGTGACGCCTATGGTGCACGAGGATGAATGAGCCATGACCCATTTTGAGTTGGTTTTTGTGTATGGAGTGAGGTGTGGATCTTGCTTAAGTTTTCTACAGGTAGTTTTCCAATTTTGCCAGCACCATTAATGGTTCACGGCATACCAATGTCACAGATCATCACAGTCCTGGTGTGAAATCCTACAGGTCACAGTAAAAGTACACATTCTTTTGTGGTATATATAAAATACTACATAATATAATCATGGTTTAAAATAAGTGTTGCTTGTTGTTAGGTGCCATCAAGTTGAGCACAATCCATAGTAACTATTCTATAAACAACAGATATGAACCCTGTCCATCCTGTGCCATCCTCACACTTTCTGACACATAAGAGCCCATTGCCATAGTTACCATGTCAATATAGCTGGTCGAGCATTTTCTTCTTTTTGGCCACCCTTCCACCCTTCCAAGCATCATGTTCCTCCCCAAGAAATGGCCCCTCCTAGCACCATTCCCAAAGGATGCGATATGAAGCCTCATCATCCTTGCCTCCAAAGAGCACTCCAGCTGCACTTTTCCCAATACATATTTGTTTATTGTTTTGGCAGTCCATGAGCTGTTCAAAGCTCTTCTCCAACACCTCAGCTCAAAGGCACCAATTCTCCTGTTATCCTTATGATCAGAAAGACCATAGCCTGAATCAGATGCACCCTACTCCTCAAGCTGACATCATTACTCCTCAAAAGTATGGAGATGTCCCTAACTGTAGACTTTCCCAGTGCAATATGTCTCCTAATTTCCTGACTGCTGGTACCAAGGGTGTTGTTTATGGACCAAGTAAGATGAAGTTGTTGATTACTTGAGTCTCTTCTCCATCTATCATGATGTTGTCTATCAGTCCAGTGGTAAGAAACTTTGTTGTCTCGACATTGAGATGCAATCCATATTGAAGGCTGTATTCTTTGATCTTCTGCAACAAGTGTTTCAAGTTCTCCTCCCTTTCAGCAAGGGAGGTTGTGCTACCTGTGTAACTCGGGCTATTGATGAGTCTTCTACTGATCTTGATGCCACATTCCACTTCATAGAGTCCAGTTTCTCAAATTATTTGTTCAGCATATGGATTGACTAGGTATGAAAAATAGAATCTTGACACATTCCCATCTTAATAATTTTAAACCATGTAATGTTCCCTTGCTTTGTCCAAACAACAGCCTCCTGGTCTAGGTATAGTCTTCACATGAGCACAATTAATTAATTAAATAAGCTTGTTGTTGTTGTT